GTTGGTTGTGGGGGGAAAGCAGTATTGGAAAGCAGGGACACTACCGGGCAGGTTGGACAGGCAGACCCCTGAAAGTCCTGCCCTCTAGCCTTGTCCTTAGCTTGAAAAGTAAGGGCAGCTACAATGCAAGAACAGGAAAGTGGAGAATCATAAAGGCTCTGAGATGATGACTACACATCATGTTGGAAAACATGTTAACTAACAAGTTTTTAAACATGACTTAATAGCTAATGGAGACAGGACAAGTTAGGGTTAATCACAACGTCCTCATTAAGGACAATATTGCATTGATTAATAGGATAAACATTTCCTACCATGAGTCATTCTCCTGGTGTAAACATAGTCAGATCCCTGTGAAATGCCCTCCTACCCCCAGAAAAGAGAAACAATAGTAGTATTTAGACTTTAAAAAAAATAGCACCAAGAAAAAACAAAAACAAAGACTTAATTCTGATAAGCTGCCCAGCAAAGGCAGTGTCTGGATCACTCATTTCCCTGCATAGTTCAGGGTCTCAATATGTTTTGCAACACAAGCCTCTAAAAATAGAATATTTCACTACTATATAAGCACCAGCCTTTCATGTTACATGTTATAGATGAGTGGCTACCACATAGCTTTATCGACACTGGAAGTCACAGCAAGCTCTAGGGATGTTCTTCCCTTATTCCTTCTGGTAAGTGTTGTTAAAGAGATAGAGCTGGGGTCTGCAAGTCAGGAACTGAGTTCTGATCCCAGCTCTATCAGTGATTTGGCATGACTTTAAGCAAATCACTTCATCTCTCTATGCATTAGTTTCCCCATCTGCAGGCAGGAGAAGATACCACTTCCCAGCAAGGGTTGAGAGGCTTAACTAGTTAATATTTATAATAGCACCTTGAGGTCTTTGGATGGAAGCACAAGGTGGCATTAGGAAACATTGCTACAGCTTTTAGCTCGACATCTCTCTGTCTCTGAATGCTTCTAATAAATGTTTACTGTCTACAGAGTGCTCTCTCCTCTCCTCACTGCTAGGTTGACTCGCCTGTTTATTATCACTATTGCCAAAAAAACAGATCAGATAGTTTTAAGCCACTTAAATGTAATGGTGCCCTTGGCGAATTAGTGCATAAAGCAGCTTTGGAAGGATTTGATTTAAATCAAAAAATCATTGGTAATCATCAGTTTCTCCCTCACCCAAACATCAAATTCCATTGCCAATCAAGATTTACAGCGAGAACACTAAACCATAGCACTGCTACTCTTCTAGACAACTGGTGTCCCTTGTTTGCTCTCAGTTTTATCTATTAATCAACGACTAATGTGAAATATGATCAAGTGTGATTTTACTCATTGGATCTACCTATCTTTAGCACGGGGTGGGCAAACTATGGCCCGCAGGCCACAAGCGGCCCATCAGACCATTTAATCCGGCCCTCAGCTCCTGCTGGGGAGCGGGGTCTGGGGCTTGCACTGCTCCCACGCTCCAGCCAGGGAATGGGGTGTGGGGTCTGGGGCTTGCCCCGCTCCGCGTGGCTCCCAGGAAGCAGCCAGCATGACCCCCCTCCGGCTCCTAAGTAGTAGGTGCAGGCATGGCCAGGCCACTCTGTGCGCTGCCCCATCCACAGGCGCCGCCCGCACAGCTCCCATTGGCCATGGTTCCTGGCCAATGGGAGCTGCAGGGGTGGCACTTGCGGATGGGGCAGCGTGCAGAGCCGCCTGGCCTCACCTCGTAGCTGGAGGGGGGACATGCTTCCGGGAGCTACTTGCGATAAGTGCCGCCCGGAGCCTGCACACCTGAGCCTCCCCAATCCCCTAATCCCCTGCCACAGACCTGATCCCCCTCCCACCCTTCAAATCCCTCAATCCCAGCCCAGAGCCCCCTCTTGTGCCCCAAGCCCCTCATCCCTAGCACCATCCCCAGCCAGAGCCCTCACCACCACCATCACCTCCAGGCTCCAACAGCCTGCCCCATCCTTGATCCCCCTCCTGCCCTCTGAACCCATTGGTCCCAGCCCAGAGCCCCCTCTTGCACCCAGAGCCCACAGCCCCAGCCAGACCCCTCACACCCCTGCCCTGTACCCCAACCCCCTGCCCTGATCCCCCTCCTGCCCTCCAAACCCCTCAATCCCAGCCTGGAGCCCCCTCCTGCTTCCCAAATCCCTCATCCCCAGCCCACCCTGAACCCTCACCCCCCCGCTGCACCCCAACCCCGAGCCCCCTCCCGTACCCTGAACTCCTCATTTCTGGCCCCACCCCAGAGCCCTCACTCCCTCCCGCACCCCTACCTCCAATTTTGTGAGCATTCATGGCCCGCCATACAATTTCCATACCCCGATGTGGCCCTCAGGCCAAGAAGTTTGCCCTCCCCTGCTTTAGCATGTTGCAACCCTTTCCCCAGGCCCTTCATCTGTTTTGTTTAGCCAGACTATAGGCACTTTGGGGCAGGGACTTTACTTACTCTTAACTGCGTTAGTATTATTTCTTCTTTGTAATCCTGTCGCATCTAGAGGCCCCAACCAATACAGAAGGATGATCTAAGGCAGTGGTTCCCAAACTGGGGTTTGTGAACCCCTGGGGGTTCACAAAATGTTATAGGGGGTTCTCGGGAAAAAGTTCCCTAGTGGCGGCCAGAGCTGTCCCTAGGAACCCCGAGCAGCCTGGGGCCAGCAGCCCGGAGCCCCTGGACTTCCAAGAGCTAAGCAGATCAAAGAAAGCATATCTATCACATTGAGGAGATTTAAACTTCAAGACTCCTTATCAGAAATGGAAAGGGAGGTGGAAAGTTTTTGCTGTTTTTAAAATTAAATAGGCAGCTAGTATTGTTTTTAAAATTATTATGAAGAACAAGTTTAAGCTTTGTTGTAACGTGTGTTGTTTGCATGGACTGCTCAAGACCTGACTGCTTGTGTAGGAGGAATTCTTTGAGTTGGCTTCTTAAATACCTTCATGCTGTTTCACATCTGATACTCCTTGATGAAACATAGGCGCCTTGATACAAGCTACGAAAGTGAGATCTGGGAAGTGTGTTGCCATTTTCATAATGTAATAAAAATACTGTAATGATAAATAATAAATATTGTGTAATAAGCATGTCATAAAAACAAATTTTATATTTCCACGATCACTACTTTTATAATTTATACTCCGGTAAAGGAGAAAATCTCTGGAAATATTCATTTTTAGGAGGGGGTTCGCGAGACTTGACATTTTAGTGAAAGGGGTTCACAGGTTGTTAAAGTTCGGGAACCACTGATCTAAGGGATAAGAGACTGGATTTGGACTCTGTGTTCAAATCCCTGTTTAGCTCCCGACTTCGTATGTAATCTTGGGCAAATCAATGAACCTTCCCTGTGGGAATAATATTACCCTCCCTCACAGTGGTGTTGCAAAGATAAAATATATTAATAATTGCGATGCACTCAGATACCATGGGATAACGGCCAAGGAAGTATCTAGATAGATTGGAGCCCTATTATACTAGACAAACAGAGTAAGAAACAGCTCCTGTTTTAACAGCTTAACAATTTAAATTATACAACACTCAGCACAATGAGACTCCAATCCTGAACATGGCCTCAAGCTCTAACGCAATCCCAATAATAAGAGTAATAATTATTGAGGGGTTTGGTTTTTTTTAATTTCCTGCTAGTACAAAAATGTAAAAGGGTCAAACCTGGCTCAGATTTTAAATTCCATAAGTTTTAAAAAATTCCAATAGAAACCTAATACATTCTCCTGTAGAACGGAAAACATTAGAAGTGGAAGTGACTCAAAGACTGACTGGAAAGAGTGAACATTTTCATAATCCGTCTGCTTAAGTGTTTATTTGCAGAACTGTGAGAAACATTCATAAAAACTAAAAAAAAAACCCACGAAAAGTACATTTTAAGTGTTGTTTTTTTTTAATCTAAAATGATTAGAAACTTGGGAATTTTTAACACTACCAAGAATCAGGATAATGATAAAGTTTTGAAATAAAGATTTGCAAACACTTGGGTGATTAATGGGAGAAAAATCCAGAATCTGAGCCCACAGGTAAGCCATCACACTAGGATAGCTGGTACCAAGGGACCAGCGTTTCTCAAAGACTTTTCGGGACCACCAGGACAGAGAGAATATGAAGGTGGTGTATTGGCAGCGGCCGATGAGAGGAATCTCTCTTATATGGATGGCGCTGTCCTGTGGATGAGTAGGAGAAGTGATCCACAGAGACCACTTCTTTCCCCGGTAGACCTCAAAGCAATTTACAAATGGAAGCTAGTATCATTTTTACTTAAGCACACACACACACACACACACAGAGAAACTGGAGTACAGAGAGAGGATGGGACTTGCCCAGTCAGGAGTCCTGACCCCCAGCCTTGAACACTGTTACATGTGTCGCCGCCAGAGGATTTGTGGGAATCAGTGCTCTGGTATTTCTCCCCTCCAAACCAGCTGCCTTTCCACGGGGCTAACAGGCACATCGTGCACAATGAGGACAACACACCAATGACCGCCAAGGCGTCACCACAGGGCCACGCAAAGGGGTGAGCTGGGCCCCTCGGACACGGCGCCGAACAGAAAGCGCTGACCCTCGGGCATCCCCCTAAAGTGGGGCGGCTCCATTAGAGTCCGACCGAGCCCCCAGCTCCCCAGGCCGGGCACAGATCGCAGCCTGCAGCCCCGGCCCCTCCTGGGTCAGAGCAGGGGGCACCACCCAGGAGCGGGGAAAGCCTGAGCCCGGACCCCCCCCCGCAGAGCACGGCGGGGGGGACGGACAGACAGACACCAATGGCGGGGGGGGAATAAAGGCACAGACATGGGGGTACGAGGACAGACACACCACGCTGGGGCGGGGGAGGGGAATAAGGGCTCCTGGGACAGACAGACAGGCGCGGCGCGGGGGGGGCAGGATAGACAGACGGACGCGGGGGAGCGGGACAGACAGACGGACGGACGGGGGGAGCCCGACGCCAGAGCCCGGGGTCTCAGGGCGGGCGGACCCCGGGGTCCGGGGCCGAGACGGCCCCATCGGTACCTGCTCATGGCCCCAACCGCCTCCCGCGGCTCTCTCCCGGCGCCGGTGTCAGCTTCAGGCCGGAAGCAAATCCCGGCTCGGGACAGGCAGCTTCCGGGCCCCGCGCTACCCATAGGGCGCTTTCACATGGCGTCGGCGTGACCCCTGACCCCGGAAGAGATCGGGACTCTCCCTGCCTGCTTGGGGGGAGAGACCATCCGGGATGGGGGCGGGGGAGAAACCATCGCGGGGAGAGGGGGACTGGAGCTGGGCCGCTGGGCATTGTACAGCCAAAGCGGGGGAGCCCCTGTTTGTGGGGGGGAGGACACCCCTTCATGGGGAGGGGGAGCCCCGGTTTGTGGGGGGAGGACACCCCTACATGGGATGGGGAGCCCCTGTTTGTGGGGGGGAGGACACCCCTACATGGGGACGGATGGCACCCCCCCCTCACTGCCCTTTCGCTAGGAAGGGTCTCATGTAAGGGGCTCCCTGTGGGGATGGGCGCAGCGCAGGCAGAGGCTGGCATAGGGCAGAATCTCTTCAGGCTAAGGAATCTGCGGAGGTGCCAGCATCCTGGTTCCTGCTTGGCTCATGGAGATAGGAGCCCTAGGACACCTCCCCTCCCCCCGATAATAGAACGTGACTGTGAGCTGGGGCCAGCTCTCCGTGCTGCGGATGGCCCCCCTTCTCCTGATCAGGGCTGTCCGCCTTGATTTTCAACTTTCTCAACTGACTGGGACGAGCTGTGATCTGAGCACGGGACCAGGAGCTTGTCCTGAGGTCCAAGCAGCAGCCGGGGGAGGCAGAGGACTGGGAGAATGGACAACTGTCTGTCTAGAAATGGTCCAAGGCTTTCATCAGCCTCCGTTCTCCCTTCGGAGCCTCAGCACTTCGCCTCAAACTCCTCAGGCCCGTCTTGCTTACGCTGGGGCAAATCATGAGTAACTACGGAAGTTAGTGGAGTTGCTTTGAGAGGAGAAGCGGGCCCTTGAGGCTGTGGGGTGAGCACAGGCGCTCGGAAAGAGATGGATGGGGATTGCACATCACCTGACTTTCAGTTCATTTGCTGGTTGCCATTGCTCGTGAGGCAGGCAACCCACGGAGGTCAGTGGAGTCTGTGTGGTTCTCTGGCTAGAGGACTGGGAGTCAGGAAATCTGTATTCAGCATGACCTTGGAGAAATCACTTCATCTCTGCCCCCAAATCCATGTGCCCTAAGTGGCAGTACCATATGGTAGCCAGCCTCCTCTGAGCCAGAATTTCCAGCCCAGAGACGTGGGTAGTCCACTGCATTCCTCACTGGATCAGCCGGGAACAAGCCCTTACAAGTCTGCCACCTTCCCGCGGGAAGGGATCAGGAAAAGAAACAGGCTTGCGTTGACTGGAGAATGCAGATTGAATTTGTTAATAACATGAAACCGGCCCTTGTCCACAGTGGGACAGGTGCCAGGACACTGCATCTTGGCAGCTTTATTTATTTCCTTGTGAAAAGTCAATGGGTGGAATGAGGGTATTGCTGGCTTCACTCAAGACGCTGCTCCTGAGCAACAATGTCCTTGCTGTGAGCAGTTCCGATGCCAGCCAAAGCAAAAACCGGTTCCTGGACAAAAACAAAGGTGCCCCTTGACAACGCTGCGTTGGGCAGCCAAACCCGTGTGTGTACTTAAAACACAGACTGGGAGGAGCACAATAAGGTGTAGTAAGGCGGGATTAGCTGGACTAGTAACCTCCAGAGGCAAGAAAACAGACTAGGGCCCAGATCCTCAAAACTATTTAGGCACCTAACAGTTGTTGATTTCAATGCCATCTCTTGAGTACAGCATATGGGTCATGGGACTTAATGGCCAACTCTTACCAATAGCACTGCAGAATTCAGGGGGCTGGTGGTGGATTACAGAGACCCTCAGACCTAGGTCACTGCTTCTACTCTGGCCCAGCTTGGGTGGGAAGTTGTTACTGTCTGATCCTAGCAGGTGTGGCTCCATATCACAAAACCCCACCACCACTCCACCTCCTTGTTGGAAGCCTCAGCAGAGAGGCCAAAGACTGACTGGATTTTGACTGCCCCTTTCACTCTGAGTGGGGAGCCTGGCAGGTCAGTATGAGGAAGCTTGCACAGGTCCTGTACCTGGCCCTATTTCCCTTGCCTTTCCCATCCTTGTACAGAGAGCCTAACAGCCATTGTTCTGAGTCTCAGACAAGAACCTACTCTTTAACCATCTGGCACTGCAGTGACTCCAGCCCACGCTCCCTCTGCCACCATCTCTGCAGCTCTCCAAGGCCCTAGCACCCTATGGAGCATAAGGGATTGTGAGTTGTGGCCGAGTCTTCTGCTTACCAGCAGGGAGGCATTAACCAGCCCCATAGTTAGGTGCCAGCCTCACGCACTTACTGTACCCTGGCAAACCTGCTGTTGGGAGGCCTTGGAGTTGTTCCTGGGCGCTTGGTGACAGAAGGACTAGCCAGGCCTGTTGTATCTGAGCGGCTCCTCCTTTACCCTCTCCCAATAAAACACACTGCAAAGATTTATTTACAAAGCTTTATTACCGCAATGAGGTGCATGGAAGGGGCCTTGCTCAATACAGGATCAAAGGGTACAGAATGAGAGAGAGAGAGAGAGAGAGACCTAAACTAAACTAAGAAGCTGCCTCTTGCTCGCAGTCCCCATTAGGGATGATATAACCATGGAAAACAGCATTTTGAATTTGGCAAACAGGAACTTCTTGCATTTTCCACGTTAACGTTCCCTCCAGGGGGCTGGTACAAATCCAGCTCAAGGCGCTAGCCATTGTAAGATATGTGGTGGCTCCTGTGAAACAAGTTAGTGGGTTCTTGGCTCAGGTCCCAGTAGATAAGTGGCCACCTGACAAAAATCACCCTCACTGGCACAAACTGGCCTCTTTTGGTAGACAGCGTCAGCAGAGAAGCCAAGGATCGAGTGGGGGTCTTCTCCCTTGCTAGAGACAGGGGCTCAAGGGGAGTTAGGCACCTACAAAAGCTTTGAGGATCTGAGACAGGGTCCTTCCTGCAGATCCAGCTTGAGGCACATTGGTGGGGGAAGCTTGACCCTATCTGCCCTAGGATATAAACTAGAGGACTTCAGTCTCCAGGGCTGGTGAACCAACACTATGGTTTGGCTCCACCTCTATTCAATTGTCCAGTGCCATTTCACCTTTTAATTTCACCTGCCCTGTCTCCCCTGTGTTCGGTGCCCCTACACCCAGACTCTGGTCCACTGGAAGTCATGGAGATGCTCTAGTGGGTGGAATCATCTTCAAGCTTTCTCTGGTCAGCACTCCCCTAGTAGCACTGGGCTTCCCCCACCACATGGAGCTGGAGTTTGCTCCCGTGTTCCTCTCTCGCTCTGTGGTCTTTCAGAGAAGCCCAGGGCTGGTTTGCTTTAACGAAATATACAAACAAGTGGAGATAAAGACCAGATCGTCACCCTGCTGGAAGGAAGGAGGGAATTCTTGCCCAGCTTTGCACGTTCATGCACCCACAAACCCTCCCACACAAGCCAGGATTCCACATCCTAGGGCAGCTCTTGCTAGAACAACTCTAGCAAGTTGGGCAGGGTCTCCACCTCCCCCGCACCACCATCACTGACACTAATTGCCCCCCACCACACTTTTAGCAGGCTCAAGCAAAGAGGGCAAGGACTAAATGGACCACAAAGACTGAACTGTCCAAAGGAAGGGCCTTTCTTTAGGGTTGAAGACATGGGGAAAGCTTGCATTGCTGCCACCTGTACTGCACTGGGATGTGTGATCGTCTCCTAAGGGAAGGGGCGGAAGCCGCATTGTTTGGCACAGTTAGAGGGACAGGACAGAGCACTAGTAAATGGAGACTAGGGAAAATCTTGCATTAGCCTCCGGGCCTGGGATGGATTAGATGCCCCACAGCAAGAGGACTTGCCCATCTCTATCATCTAGATGGACATGCAGAGGCTTTCAAACATCTGTCCAGCTGCCACCTTTCGCCAGCACTAAATTCACTTAACAGAAACAAGCCATCCATTGGCAGATAACGGGAAAATCAGAAAGATGAGAAAGGAAGTGTGGGGGGGAAATAAAGTAAACGAGGCCGTTAAGGAAAGAGAATCCATAACATGGAGCGGGAAGATGAGTGCGTTCCACCTCTGGGACGGCTTCCTCCATCTTCCTTCCGCCACCCAAGCTAACTGGTGCCTCCGAGTGGGGAGGTGGCGGGGCAGTTCTCTACGTTAACGGAGCGGGGAGGTCTCTCTGCAAAGCCAACGTGTCTCCGCTCCTTGTGTTCTGGGGAGGGGAAAAGGAAAAAAAAAAAAGATGCAGAAGCTGTAGATTGTGAGCTCCCCAGGGCAGGGATCACCTGCTATTTGTTTGCATGTTGCCTAGTGCACAGATCCTGGATTGACAGGAGTCAGTTTATGGCTCTGAGGTGCAGGTTCTTAGAGCCTGGGGCTGTGGGGGCCCTGGGTCTCTGACACTCCCTTGTCACCACCAAGGGAGATTGGCAAAGCAGCACCTCACCAATCCTGGAAGGTCAGGCCCCGCAGGAATGGCCAAGGTGTGCAGCCGCCTGATTGGCTCGCACCCACTGCTTCAGCCAGGAAGTGACCCGAGGGGGTGTCTGAGTGACCGTGCATGCTCTCCATTGCTGCTGCATCAGATTCCGCTCTTGCCTATCTCCTGCAATCTGCCTCCAGCCCATTCCCACTTCACTCCCGCCCAGGGCCGGCTCCAGGGTTTTGGCCGCCCCAAGCAGCCAAACAAAAACAAACAAACAAAAAAGCCGCGATCGCGATCTGCGGCGGCAATTCGGCGGGAGGTCCTTCGCTCCGAGCAGGAGTGAGGGACAGTCCGCCGAACAGCTGGACGTGCCGCCCCTCTCTGAAGTGGCTGCCCCAAGCACCTAATTGGAGGACCTGGCTTCCCCCAACACTCTTTGTCATTTGCAAAGCAGTTACCATTTGCAATCCAGATGCGTGATTAGAGGGGGGAAATCCATTCCATGGATCCCACCAAGCAAACCTCTGGAGCAGGGATCCCCGCCACATGGCTCTTTTTGTGAGAGTCTGGGTGTTAACCAGAGTGTCGTGGCCAAACTCTAGCTTAGGGGAGGCCTTTCTGCTGAGCCAAGCTTCTCCATGCGGTTTCAACAGGATGCAGGTTCCCCCTTCGCTTTGGGTTCCCAGCTGTTAGTTGCCGTGCGCTGTTAAAACAGTAGCCACGTTCCACCCCAGAGCTGGCTGCATTTCAGCACTGGGGATGTGGCTCTTGCGTTTTCCTTTGCTTACCCCACTGTTGTGGGTTAGATGAGGCTTCTTTAATGAATGTTTGTGAAGCTGTCTGAGAGCCGCCCAAGGAGTGGGTACCCTTGAAGCATTAATGTGCTCTGCATTAACTGGCTCTATTTATGGACTCTACATCCAGCACTGATTAATTCTGTCATTGCTCCCTGCTACACAACATACACCCCCCCGCCCCCCGTTCTTGCTCCTCAGGCTCATGACGTTACCGCTTGGAGAAGGACTGTCCTGTCCTGGATCCGGTTCCTGGGCCTTGGTCCCGTCTCCTTCAGTAGCTTCAGGTTTCTCCCATTCAGCGAGCGAGTTCAGCTCATCCCCGAGCTCCGCTATCCCGCCAGCGAAGGACACTTTCTGGCCACCTACCGAGAGTAAACACCCGCATGTTAAATGATGGGCGTCTCCATCGCCAATCACTGAGGGTTCCAGGCTTCATGCAACAATCAGACAAGTGCTTTAAAACATCACCATGAATCAGTGAAATCCTGATGATCGATCGAGCCCAGGGCAGACCCAGATCCAAGCCCTCCTTCCCCCCAAATTAACATTAGGATCCTCTGGAAAGACCCTTCCCCTAGTCCCTTCTACCCAAGGCTCCAAAGTTCCTCCCTGTCAGCCCACCAATCTACACACTCAGGGAAAGCTAATGAAAGACGTTTGGGACCCTGATTAATTTGCAGCCACAAAAAGCCACTGATTTGGGGTATCTCAATTTCTGAGACACCTTGGCCCGGGGCCCAGCTTGCTGAGGAAGAAGAGGTCAGATGGACAAATCGACGGGAGCTGTGGATGATCTATGTCCTCTGAAAATCAGGCCCAGCCTGCCTTAGGCCTTGTCTACACTACAAATGCCATCCCGGCAACCCCCCCGGTGTAGACGCAGCTTGTGCCAGCAGATGGCGTTTCTCTGTTGGCGTAGCAAGACCACCTCCCTGAACAATATTAGCTATTCTGACAAGACTTTGTAGTGAACACCAGGCCTTTGGGTTGGGGGCTTGAAAATGGTGCTAATTTTAGCCTTGATGCTTCAAAACCCAAACGAGAAAAATGCAAAGGGAGACCAAAACCAGGGCTGATAAAGCCTGGGCCCCAGGTTAGTGCCAGGCCAGATAGGTGCCTCCTCTGAAAGCATAATGGTGATGCTAACTGACCCTTAACCCTGGAGGCATTGCTGGGTCTCCCACCCACCGCAGCAAACCCCCACGGATCCGCCATTGTCTATCGCACCGGCAGATTACCTTTCCTTTTGTGTGATTTGACGACAGCTGGATAGATACGTGGTTCAAATGCTCTGGCCTCATTTCCCGGGGCTTCTCGGGGGGTCAGCAACAAAGGAGAAAAAGAACAAGACGCATTGCACAGAATTCTCTGTCGGAAATATTAACAAAGGGGACAAACAAATCGGCAAGGGGGCCAAACTCGATGTGCTCTGAGCAATGGCCCTGCAGGGCTCCCCTCTCATAGCTAAGCTGAACGGTGGGACATGCTTACCATGTCCAGGCACAAATCAAGGACGGCTGACCCACTTAAGCGGGTAGATCCTGAGCAGCACAGTATTAGGGGCGATCAAATGCCCAGTGAGAGCCCCGACTCAGAGTGAGGGGGTTGGGGGAGAGCACCGATATCTCCTGAGTGATTCTCTGATTTACACTGGTATCAATCTGAAGTGACTCCTTTACAGTCAACGGAGCTGCACTGGATTAGCCCCAGCATTAGCACCTGGAGAATCAGGTCCCCTAGGCCGGCAGGAACCCAGTGCTAGGACGATCATGTCTGAGAGCTATAGGATACTGGTGCCCTCTGAGGGATTCCCCCACCCAGGGGAAGTGGGTTGTGGCACTGCCATTGGTTTCACACAGCATGAGACCACCCCCTAGGTGAGTTACGCCCTCAGTGTTCAGCTTTCCCTAAAACTAGAGGTGTTGCCTGCACTTTGAATGGGGAGAGATCAGACTTTTGTTGTTTCCCTGTCAATGAAAACACCACCCTCACCCTTTATAGGGTTAACATGCTTCCCTGCAGTGGGAAGAACCCAAATCCAAGGGGAACTAGCTAGTTTGGGAAAGCCAGAAAGCTGAGAGGGGCTAACCTCCAAACCAATGGGTTACACCAGCCCCTCCACACACACAGCTTTGGGGGCTGAGGGGGAAGGGAAAATGGGACCCAGAAAGGAACTGCCTCCAATTTGAGAATCACAAAGCAAACTCCTCCAGAAGGAGGTTTTGCAAACCCAGGGTGTCATCACTGCAGAGTTAACTCTGGTGGTGTCTCCAAGCCCTCTCCTGTCCACACAAAATCCTGTTGCCCAAGTGGGTCTATCTTCACTGCAGTTAACCCAGGCTCTTATCCAATTTTAGCTCAAACCTCTCCCCACCAACCAACCCTCTCTGACTTGGGTTTGGAGATGCTTTAAGCCCAGGCTAGCTGACCAGGATGGGACTCGGTTAGTGTCTGGGCTCTAGTTTAACCCAGGGGTTAAGGCTGGCCAAACCACTCCAGTGCTTTCCCACAATTCCCCCCACGCGCCCAGAAGGACAGACCGATTCTCTCCACGGCTGACTGGCAAAGAACCCTAGAGCGGCCCAGCTTACTGCACACAAAGAACCAAGGGAGCTTCCGCCCCGAGAGTGCAGCGCCACCAGCGCGGACCCATTAACCGGGGCCTGACTGCGGCTCACACCAGGGCTAGATTATTATCTCTGCAGTGCAGCCCCACCCCAGGAGCACAGCTGGGTTTTGTTCCTTGCTGCTGCCAAGTGAAACTGAAGTAGTAGCAGAAAGGGAAACTGATCGGCTTAGTTTCCTTGTGTGGGTGTAACTGTGACTACCGGAGTCCGGGCGGGCTGCTCCCTGGCCATGTGACAGGGCTGTTAGCCCTCGTCGGCCTGAGCCAGCGCACTCCAGAAATGGCACCGAAAGTTAAAATGGCACCAGCCACAAAAACTAAACTGAAGGTTGGGGTTTTGGTTTTTGATGCTTTCAATTCTGATCCTCGAAGGGGTTTGTAGTGACCCAGAGAAGGAAACATCGGGCCAGATGCTGAGCTCAGTTAAACCAGCATAAATCTGGAGTAATTCCATTGCCTTCACTGGAGTTACTCCAGATTTACATGGTGGAAATGAGATCAGAATCTGATTTTGTTGCCATACGCAGGGGCCAGCGTCTGTTGTGAATTACCCCAGTATAAATCCAGAGCAACTCCATTCGTGTCTCTCTGGTTTTACCCCAGAGGAACTGACAGCAGATTCTGGCCCCCAATTTTTTCTTGGCAACCTCCCTTTCAAAACAAAACAGCGCCAGCCAAATCAATGATCTGTTGTGGCAGGAGAGAGAGAGGACACTCTGGGGCAGTGAATGCAAAGGGGGTTCCTTTATTACGCCTGCCGGATGCAGACAGACACCACGGTTCTCTCTGACTCCAAGACTTGCTCAACAGCCTGCGTTCCACCATGTCAACCTTTCTACGCTCCACCTGCCCCTCCTCCCCCGCACACCAGCCTTGCCGCCCCCTCCAGAACCTCTGGATGTTGTGTTTGCAAGAAGCCTGGACACCAGTGCAGGCGTGAAACCCCAGGCCCGGCTCCCCGAGGTGAGAGACGCCGCCCGCCGTGATGACATGTGCCTCCTGTCCCGATAAAATGTCTCTCTGCTGTAATCACCAGCTTCCCGGCGCCTCTGGAGCTTAGCAGCAGGGCGGGGAGTGTGCGTGCACACTCGGGAAGGGGTGCGAGCCTGTGAAAAGCAGCGTCAGCTGTTTCCCCAGATTTGGCTGGAACCGTTTTCTTTCTTTCCGGGGTACTTCTTTTACGATCCCTCTTCCCTGGCCTCTCACAAGAGGGAGCCATTCCCTTACCGGAGTGCTGCTTCGGCAGAGCTGGCTTGGGACGGGCTGCCACTGCCTCAGGTGCCAGAGGCAGGTCCTTCATCGCCTGGGCTCCTGGAATGAATACAGCAGCAAGATAAGCCATCTGGGGAGCGACCAACGAAGGTCAGGGCGGCTGGCGCGCCGTCTGCGGAGCACAAATCCTGTCCCTCCCCCACTCCGCCGTCACCGGCACTTTCAGCCGCTTTCTGTTACCCCAAGGCCCCAGCGCTCTTGCTACCCTCGGATGGCCGTTTGGTGGGGTGAGTTTGGCAAGTCTCGGCCCAGTTGCAAATAAGACAGGCGTCCCCGCTGGGGAAAAAAATCTCCCCCTGCCGCAGGTGGCTCTGCTAATCCCCCTTTGTCTTCAGCCGCAGCAGAGCAGGCAAGGACTGAATGGGGCCTGGAGATCGGCTGCCCCTCTCAGCCCTAGACTGTTGCCACCAGGCCAGGCCAGATTCCTCATGGCGGTCTAGTAGATAGGCCTGGGGGGGTTGGACTCAGGAGACCTGTGCTCTGGTCCGAGTTCTGGCAGGGGCCTCGGGGCAACTCTGTGCCTCAGTTTCCCCTCCCATCCTTTACCTCCTCTATTCAGACAGTAAGTAATTGGGGGGCAGAGGCTGCTTCTCGCGATAGGTACATACAATTCCCTGCCCCACAGGCCCCTGATTGCTGCCGAGGCCTCTAGATACCTCTGTAATAGATCTAAATCACAGAACACAGGGAGAACCCTCGGCAGCTGCTACCCTCCTTTCCTTCCTTCAGATGCCTCCGCTACCATGTGGCCTATCGGAAACCAGCCAATTGGCGACGGCTGGAGGGGCAAATTGGGACAGCTGGTGCTCTGGTTATTGCTAATTGCAAAGGTATCAATGTCTATAAGATTGTATCTGTCTGATTATATCCTCCCCCCCCCCACTCAAGACTTCATACCTGACTTGTCTTCTTAGACGGTAAGCTTGCTGGGAGTCGGGATAGGTGCCAAGTTTTCCCAAGTGTTTGTGCAGGGCCTTGCCTCACGGGGCCCCGATCCTGACCGGGGCTTTTAACTGCTACTGGGACACAAATCTGAAATGGACACTCAGATGCTCGGGGGAGGGGCACATTACAGCTTCCTAAATAGATTTCACTGCCACTGTGTTGGCAGCGCTGGGTGTGTATGGGGAGCCCAGGATTGGAAGGGGAGGGGCTGCGGGGCAGGACTGAGGGGCACTGGCAGAGCTGTGGAGGTGGGGAGCCCCAGGCTGGGATAGCAGAGGGGGGATGTGCGGCTGAATGGAGCAGCATCAATGGAGTGCTGGGGTGGGAGCCCAGGACGATAAAAGAAACAAAGAACTTAACTCTAACCCCAACCAGCCTTTCCCAGCTCTCGCTGCCCAGAGCGGAAGGGAGCTGAGATGCCGAAGTGCCAAGATAAACGTCCCCGATTCCCACCCCCCTGAATTTAACCGGGGGGGGGGATCTCGCCATCCCCCAACAGTGCAGGGAAAGCAGGTGGGTGGGTTGGGGTGGGTGTGTGTCTCTGACTGAATGCCAAGGCACCAGGCTCACCGCTCCTTCGTGCCAAGCAACAGTGATGGTTTCCTAGGTGACTGACGGCTCATTGTACCAGGGAGGGAGCGTATGCGTGGCGGTGGTGAGGAATATTTACAGGTTTCTCCCTAGCAGCAAAGGCGCTAAATGAAGGGATATTTTAGTATGCGCAGCGGGTCCCCGGTGAGTGGGATCCGAGGAAGGCGGGGGGAAGGGGGGGAATAGTGAGGCCTTTAAATAGACTTTTGCTATGCTGGCAGCTCCCACCTGCTTCCAAACTCCTTGACCGCCAGACTCGGATCCAGGGAAAACTGCCCTGGACTAAAGCAAATGAGCAGGAATTTCCTTCCCAACTGCTCTCCCTTCCCCCACATCACTTCCTTTCAGGGCTCAGAGATGTCAGAACCCCCGGTCCCCCACCCCACCCCCTGCTTCCCATAAATGGCCAAGCAAGCCCCATCTGCCCTCTGCGCTCCTGAGTTCCACCCCAGGGCCTTTGGCCAGCCTATTCTGGGCTTCTTCCCCCAGCTCTGATCGGGTAGCATCGCTGAGCCACTTTGCACGGGTGTCACTGCTGGAGTCTGTTGGTGCTTGTCCCCGGAGTATCTGAGCATCTAGGGAACCTAAACAGCTGAGCCCTGCACAGGGATCCATTGCACTCGGGCACCGGGCTTGGAAACCTCCTTCTTTCAAACAGGAATCTCAGCAGAGCAAGGCCAGCAAGATGCCCTGGGAAACGCTGAGCCACCCTTTGAGTTGGAGAAGAGATACAAACTCTCCACCAACAATGGCAGCCAGGAGTGGGACGAGTCATCCCGGAGTTCCCGCTGAGCCTAAACCTGCAGCCTAAACCCCGATGGCTCATCCCGCTCTCATGGTTCAGGGACGGCTCCTCAGGGCACCTCGGGGATGGACTCAGCACAGGGAGGAAAGCCGCGATTCCCATCGCCGTGATACCGAATGGGACAACCCTTCTAGCTAGAGAGCTGTGATTTGTGCTGGCGTCTATCACTGTCCCCACATGGAGAAACTGAGGCCCAGAGCAGCTCCCCAAGGTCAGCCGGCAGGGAAGGGAGAGCTGCAGCAGCCGCCAGCCATTGGCTGCGTCTGTTGGCTGTATTATTTGCAAAGGACCATTCTCCCGGGGCTGTTGGAAACACAGCGCCAACCTTATGGGATCCAGGACTGGATGCCCGTCTGCCTGGCTCCCAGGCCTGTCCTTGTAGGACATGATCACGCTGCATCGCACGGCCTTGGGCTCCCCTCCTTAGGGAAGATCTAACGACCTGAGCTTCCCTCTCTGGTTTTCCATTACCCCTCTTCCCAGACAATGGCACTGCTGTGTTACATTGATGTACGGCAAGTTGCAGTACCAACTGCTGCCACTGGGGAGGGGGGCATCAAGCTTCTCCCGGCCTGGGGGATGCAGGACACCTACGGTAGCTGCCCCTAAGGGGGAATTTTGGGTGCTGCAGGATGTGCAGACACAGAGCAGGGAACCTGGTGGGGCCGAGTCCAGGGGCGCCTGCCTGCACCCGCCCCTGCAGCCCTACCCCACTTGCTTTGGGCACCAGCTGCTCCTGCCCCCTGCCTCCCCCCAAGTGGCTATTTATACTGCAATTCTCTTACCAGGAACGACACTGCTCTCTAGTTCACACGGGCCGGGGATCTCGGAGTCGATGTCGTCTGGGTCACACGACTTGTCGTCCTCGGCCTCCCCTTCGGAGCTGTCCTCGTGCTCGGCAGCCTCCTCGTCCTCCAGGCCGCTGCTGGCCTCCAGGTGCGACTGCACAATGCGCTGCATGGCTGGAATGCACAAGGAGGGAAGAAGAGCCAACTCGTGCCAGTGGGAGCCGGGTCCAGCCAGTGCAGGTTCCAGGTGACCCAGCCTCTGTCGTCTCTGGCACCAAGGGATGGGGTGCAGAGGGATCCGAGAGATGGGAGCCACACCCCACTAGCGATCTCTCTGGGTGTATTAGACTGTAGGATCTCAAAGCACTTCACAAAGCCCAGATCACATTCACAACCTGCCTCACAGCAGGTCAGTGCTATCCCTGCTGCACAGATGGGGGAAACTGAGGCACAGAGAGAGGAAGTCCCTTACCTGAGATCAAACCCACTCAGTGACTAGAGCTGGAACAGAACCCAGGAGTCCTGGCTCCCAGTCCTGCCTTCTAACCACTTCACCTTTCTCTAGGTACTCCACACAGACCAGATTCTTCTTTCACTCACATCAGTTTTATTCCCAAGTTTACACACTGTTTTCAGAGGAGTTAAACCTGATTTCAATTGCCGAGAGAATGTTATCAAGTCCGATATCTATAAAGGACATTACCAATCTATTCTTCACACCATTGGTGGTACAGTAACACCACCTGTGAACCTAAAGTTTGTTTCCTGACCAGTTTTTTCCCTCCATCACGTGTGCATGCTGGCTTGTTTGTTATAGGGTTGCTTGTAAGTGCTGTGACATGTGAACACTGCTTGGGCTATTGTGGGTGGCTAGTAAGCGCAGGACCACGTGCACTGGTTTGTCATTGCAGGGCAGTTCCCCGAGTGGTAGGCTCGGCAGGTGCTGACAGCGCCTTCATAGAAGCGTCAGTGCCTGAGCTCTGATACCCCTGCGCTCTGGGTGTGTTTGCGGAGCTGCTTTCTGGATGCCCTTGGTTCTCCTCTGACTAGCGGACCCAGTGGAGTAGGCAATCGCCTCCTGGGAGCAGAGAAGCCTGGTTGCATGGTAGAGATCCACCAGCCCTGCACAAATCAGCCCTCTGCTGAAACAATCTGCACGTGTGCCTGTCAACCCAGGCATGGCAAACCTCTGGGTACGCAGGCTCAGTGCAGTACACAGGGCAGCCCTGCGACAACAAATGTCAGTGCATGCATACGCTCGCCCCATACCCCGTGTGTGTGTGTGTGTGTGTGTGTATATGCTCCGGACAGACGCGTCTAGCATGCTAACGGACCGAGCGGCAGATCGGAGACACACAGCTTCAGAGTAACAACGCAATGCTGCAGCTTCCTATGACCTTCCCCCTGCCTGCCTGGGGATCCTACGAAAGCTCCGAGGTCAGATGTCCACGGTGCATTTACTGCATTAAAAAACCCGCAGCAGCACCCAGTCTCAGAGCCCGGGTCAGCTGATCTGGGCTTGCGGGGCTGGGGCTGCGAGGCTATCACATTGCAGTGGAGATGTTTGGGCTCTGTCTGGAGCCTGGGCGATGAGCCTCCCCACTGTAGACATACCCCTAGCGCCCCTCTTTGGAGGGCTCCACAGTATCTCATGAAGCATCAAACGAGCCAGAGTGGGAAACCTGGCTAGGAAGTGAAGTGGGGAAGCACCCAGGAATTTAATACGGCGCCAGCTCCGACCGGGATGATTGTCCTGTCAGCAGATCCCGCTGCCGCTCACACCCCGGTTTGCAAGAGGAATTAGCTTCAGGGCCAGTGAAACAGACAAAACCCTCCCGCCCTCCCTCAAATGAATCCGGTGCTGCCTCAGCGCTTTGGTCACTGGACATGCTGACCGGGTCCGGGTCTTCATCCACCTCCTCCCCTTCACCACCACGGGACGAAGTGGGGATTATTCTACCTGCTCGCCCTGGCTGCGATACGGAGGCGGCTCAAAAGGGTTCCAAGCAGCGTGGCAGCCTTCATGAAATCTGGCTTCTCGGGGACCTAGTGCCCCTGGCAGTGCCAGCCACTAGCTTCCCAGCCAGGGGAGTTTGCAGCTGGGTGACCCTAGGCTATAGAGCTCCGTACTGCCCCAGGGGAACGCACTGGGTAATGTTCACACGGCAGCTGGGAACCAGGCCCCTGGCCCAGGCAGACAGACTCGCGCTAGCGTGGTGAACATAGCTGTGTGGATCTTCCGGCTCAGGCAGGTGCCCGGGCTTTCGAGCCCACCCGACCCCCTTGGCTTGAGAACCCGAGTCTGCTTACGTGAGCTGCGCGATTCGCTCCCAACTGCAGCGTAGACAAACCCTCTGCGGCCTGCTCCTCCACACACCCTCCCTACAAACCCTGGTGCTTTATCAGTGACCGTGAGACGGTCCGAACAGCACGGAATTTCCACACTGTCCGAGACAGCATCTGCCCTCCCAGGCCGGAGTCACCACCGGCCTGAAAAATCTGGCCATGGAGTCACAGTGGGGGGCTGAGGCCTTATTTAGATGTCTCAATGCGAGCTGAGCTCAGCTGAAAATCTGGTCCCGGTTGGGGCTGCTGAGAACCCAGCAGGTGGGGAAATCTGACCCCATTTTGGGGGGAGGATGGAACTTGCCACACAACCCAGGGCTCAGCTCAGATTTGGGGCCTTTTGTAAAAAAAAAAAAAGCAGTTTAAATGTATATTTCAGGGATGAAAAATAAATGGATTAGGGCTAGATGCAGTAGAGTGGGTGTGTTGGGTCACTGGCAGGAAGCAGAGGTGGCTATAAACATCAACACGTAATAAGCCACTGTCAACAGTAGACTATTGTCTCTGTCTCTCGGATCGGTTTTATTTCCCCAAACAAGGCTGGTCACATTCCTTGCTGAGGACTACATCCCTGCCAAGGCTGAAGACGAAGGAAACATTTGCTTTGTGTGAGCTAAGGGCTGGGTACAAAGGACCAGAAAGGCACTCAGAACCAGCGGTCTGAAATGGAAGTGCTATCGCAACTTTGAGCCGAGGGAAGATATGGGTTTGAGGATAAAGTGGGGGACAGGGAGGCAGGACTCCTGGGGTCTCTTCCTGGCTGTTGATTACAGCAGGAGGCAGGGAGTCAGGTTTCTTGGTTTGTAACTGCAGGAGGAAGTGGGGTACATTGGTTAAAGCAGGGGCCTCCTGGCCAGGGGCAGCTCTATGTTTTTTGCTGCCCCAAGCACGGCAGTCAGGCGGTACGGTGACCAGATGTCCCAATTTTATAGGGGCAGTCCTGATTTTTGGGTCTTTTTAGGCTCCTATTACCCCCCACCCCCGTCCTGATTTTTCACACTCGCTGTCTGGTCACCCTATCAGGCGGCCTTTGGTGGCATGCCTGTGGGCGGTCCGCTTGTCACGCGGATTTGGCGACGTTTCTGCAGGTGATCTGCCGGTCCCGCACTTTTGGCGTACCCGCCACCAAATTGCCGCCGAAGCCGCAGGACCGGCGGACCTCCCACAGGCATGCCGTTGAAGGCTGCCTGACTGCCACCCTCACGGCGACCGGCACGCCGCCCCCCGCGGCTTGCCGCCCCAGGCGCCCACTTGCTGCGCGGGTGCCTGGAGCCGCCCCTGCTCCTGGCAGTCCGGACTGCTGAGTTCTGTTCCTGGCAGGGAGCGGGAATACAGTCTAGTGGCTGGATCACAGGGTTGGGGACCCCAACTGGCTTCTATTCCTGGCTCTGAGAGGGAGTATGGTCCAGTGGTTAGAGCAGGGGCCTGGGTTCTATCCTTGGCTGGTCAGTGTAGGCGTCTCAACCCCCTGACTCTACTGCTCAGTTTAGGGCTGATTTGTTTGGAAACTCGATCCTAGGAACTGAGGCAGCGGGAACCAGGAGGCCAAATCCCAGCTGGACCTGGGCAGAGTGCGACCTGAAGCCACTGTCCCTTTAACACGCCGGTGAGCTTGTTCCACCAGTAAAGCAGGACTGATGGCAGGGGGATAGAGGAGAGAGAGGCTGTGCCAGAGAGCCCCCCGGGCCACACTTCGGCCGCCACTGGCTCCGAGGCAGCTAACCCTGCAGGCCAGCCCAGCTGCCTCCAGTGCACTGAAGGGGAGTGGGGGAGGTTGGGAGAGGAGCCAGAGAATTTAGTGATAAGCTCAGGGGGAGAGATAGAGTGATGGCAAAGGGAGGAGGGGGAAGCACCCTCCTCCAGCCTTGAAGGCAGCACAAAGGAGCCTGCCGGGCCTCCCCCGCCCGCCGGCCTTGAAACCAGCCAGTGCCTGCATGGGAGCCAAGAGGCAGGAGCGAAGCCAGAGCGGCCGGATCGGCGGCCGGAGGGCCAGCGATCAGCATGGCAGACGCTCGGGGCTCCCCAACCCTGGCTGGGATGCCCCGAGGCCTGTCTGGGACAGACCATCCCAGCCCCTGCTGGACTAAGGGCCGGGCGATATTGACCCTCTCTTCATTCCACTGACCCTTGGGCCCCGATTCACCCCAGCGCTGGCACGGAGCGTGGCCCGGGGACCGAAGGGAGAGAGCGATGCACCTCTCTAGTCCTGGGGCCTGCTCTGGCCCTGGACAGAGTTAGAGGGGCCTTGAGACCCCATGTCCAATGGGCATCGGAGCCACCCAGGGGAGCGGGGCATGCCTCCTCCTGTCCTGCTCCCAGCACTGGCCGTGGAAAGGGGACGATTCATGGGGCACGGGGCTTACAGATCACAGGGGCCATAGGAAGCTGAAGAATTGGCCCTTGTGTGGGTCATTTTAAAGGCACAAGGGTGTAAAACTTCCCGGGGGGAGGGGTACAATTCCCTGGGCTCGGCACAGGGGTAACTGGGTGAAATTTACAAGGGGCCAGACTACAGGAGCCAATTGTCCCTTCTGGCCTTAAGCTCTGATGAATCCTATGACTCTTTGGGTCCATCTGCACAGCAGGAAAAGACCCATGGCACGGCCACGGCTGGCACGGCTCAGCTGACACAGGCCTGGGCTGCAGGGCGCTTTGGGGGTTTTCCAAGCTGTGTGGCCTTTGCTGGCCCAGGATCATCCAGGCTGGGCCCTTCTCTAGCCATGCTCCCTCTGGGATGCCCGTTTTGTGAGCGATAGCGACCCAGGGCATGATTTCCCCCAAATTACACACCCCTCTATAGCCCCATGGGCCTCAGCTCCAGCTGAGGGAGCGGGTAACGCAGCCCCCCAGCACCATCTGGGTCCTTCCCTCTCTCGCTGCCATGCGGGAGGCAACGTGCCTTCAGAGGCAGCGAGGGAAGAAAGCAGGGGGCTGGGAGGGAACCCGGGGGAGGGAGAGCAGAGCCTGAGTCCTGGCAGATTTCACAGCACCCGAGATGTGATAGAGACAGGTGAGAACAATAGGTGCGTGCGGATGAAGTGGGAGCAAGCGGCTGATGGGAAATTGCTATGTACAGTACAGAGCATGTGTGCACGTATGTGCGAGTTTGACGCAGTGTGTGCACGTGCGAGAGAGAGAGAGAGAGACAGTGTGTGTGTGCGTATATGTGTGCAGGAGCGAAACTGTGTGATTGTGTATGTGTGAGAGAGGGAGAAGCAGCGGAGCAAGAAATGTGTTGCCTAAATCCACTCCTCATCCCCACTATCCACCATTCATGGCCCCGCTCCAGGCCTCGGTTTCCCCGTCTGTAACATGGGAGTGGGGGGTGAGCCTGAACTCCAGGCTGTCTGCCCTGCGCACTGAGATCCCCAGGGCGGCAGTCAGAAGGGGCGAGCTAGGCAGAGCGAGGACCCTCTCTCTGCATCTCACCCCCTGTTGAGGCGGCCCCATCGCCATGCACCCTGCAATGAGATCCTTGCGGGGCAGTAAACTCTTAAATACCTGGCAGTGTCTGCAGCGCAGACAGATTGTCGAACGCACACACGGCATCAAATTAGGGCTTTAAATAGATCATGTCAGTAAACATGCTGGGCCTGATTCATCTCGCTCTGACACTGGTGTAACTCCACCCGCTCCAGGCACGTCGCTCCTGATTTACACTGGGAGGGGGAGAGAGGAGAACTGGGCCCTCTGATTTTGCCATTGACGCTCGTTCAGATCAAAAGGTGCTAATGAGAGATTTGAGTTTGGTGTGGGGTTGGTACATTACACTCTTTCACCTGGCAACATCTGACAGCTCCGATAGAGACACTTGCTGAGAAAAACAGGGCCAAGCCCGTTAACTCCACTGAAATCAGTCAGAAGAAGTAATTTGCTCTGTGTTTGTACAGAGCCTAGCGCAACGGGGCTCAATCTGGTTGGCCTCTACAAGCTCCTGTAATATAATAATGGGAAAGAACTTGGGAGGGAGCGAGAGACATTCGCCTCGGCAGAGAGGGTCCTTCCCAAACCTCATGTATCATCTAAGTCCCATTTAAAGACCTCAAAATAAGGCTTAAGTGGGATATCAGCAATGCACAAAATATATGCTGGCCCATTGCTCAAAAAAGGCAATAAAGGTCATTTTTTTGCTGATGAAGACAACTTGGCCATAGGCAAACCCAGAGAGAAAAGCACAGCTGTTTAACCCCTAAGATTGGACCATATAATTGTCAGAATCGCAGAGGGAACACATTCTGGGTCTAAATCTCTATCTTTTTTTTTAAACACAAAGCCTCCGTAAAGAGGGAACCAGGAATAGTGGAGTGAACAAGGGTCTGGCAGCCGGGATCTTCCTATTCTAAGCTCAGCTGAGCCACAGACTTGCTGTGTGGCCCTAGTGCAAGTCACCGCCCCGCTCTGTGCCTCAGTTTCCCCACCTGTAGAACAGGGATGGAATTATTTCGCTCCCTCTTCGGGCTGCTGCTGAGCTTATTTGATCTCTGTAGAGATTTTAGCATTTTTAAAGTGCTGCACAATTACCATCACTCAGCTCCGAGGCATTTAAAATAAAACACACCGGCTATTTTTAATGGGGTATGGTGGGGGGGGAACTAAACAATGTGTCGGCTCCCCCTGCTAGTCCAGCTCTGCAGCAGCAGTTGAAGCCCCAAAGTTACGATCCAAAGGATTTTGTGGCCTTTAAGGATTTGAACTTTTCCCTTGTAGCTTTTGGAAACCTAAACTCACTGCAGGGAAATGCGAAACTGACTAGAAGCAGGAAGTGAAACTGACCCGGTAAGACTCACTGCCCCCAAGCGGATGGAAGACCAATAAGGTGTCCATCAACAAGGAGGTGAGTGAATGAGGATGGAACACGCTGCTGTGCAGAGGACAATAAAAAGGCCACGCATCCCTAGGGGATGAAGCAGGACTTGAGTGATACACAGACCTTGTGCAAAAAGAACAGGAGTACTTGTGGCACCTTAGAGACTAACTCCATCTTGGAGCTGGACTTTGCATAGGAGGGAGGAGGGGGGGTCTCCTCCCACAAGAGAGAGTCTATTTAACCCTGGGGGAGACCCCTCCATTTGGTCTTCAGCTGGCTAAAGAAGGAGCCTCTCCACCCCCCCAGGATGCTTGAAGGAAACCGAAACAAAAGACAGTAGCTACAGGGGTTGTGAGAGATTGCTGGACCCAGGCTAAAGGGAGATTAGCCTGTGAAAGGGAGCATTCTGGAACTGGTGAGGAACTTATCTGTATTTAGTTTAATTAGGCATAGATTTGCGCATTTTATTTTATTTTGCTTGTGACTTACTTTGTTCTGTCTGTTACTACTTTGAACCACTTAAATCCTACTGTCTGTATTTAATAAAATCACTTTTTATTTAGTAATTTACTCAGAGTATGTATTAATACCTGGGGGAGCAAACAGCTGTTCATATCTCTCTATCAGTGTTATAGAGGGCGAACAATTTATGAGTTTGCCCTGCATAAGCTTTATGCAGGGTAAAACGGATTTATCTGGGTTTAGACCCCATTGGGAGTTGGGCATCTGAGTGCTAAAGACAAGCACACTCCTGTGAGCTGTTTTTGGGTAAACTTGCAGTTTTGGGACAAGTGATTCAGACCCTGAGTCTGTGTTGGAGCCAGACAGGAGTGGCTGGCTCAGCAAGACAGGGTGCTGGAGCCCTAAGCTGGCAGGGAAAACAGAAGCAGGGGTAGTCTTGGCACATTGGGTGGCAGCTCCCAAGGGGGTTTCTGTGATCCAACCTAAGGTGCCACAAGTACTCCTGTTCTTTTTGCAGATACAGACTAACACGGCTGCTACTCTGAAACAGACCTTGTGGGTGAAGTGGGACATAGGCGATGCATAGACTTTGCACGGTCTCTCGGCACAGGGGTGAATTTCACTGCTGCTCCCAAACTTTCTTTTGGCAAGGGATGAAATGAAAGCACATGTACCTTTAAGAGAGGGAGGCGTGTAGACACACGGGTTGGTCCTCTTTGTTTTAAGCAGGTGGCCCTCGCCCAGTGTTCTCTGGAAGGAAGGAGAATGGATTGTCAACAGTACCAGAGCAGAGAAATCAAGAGAGTCTCCAGTTAACATGGGCCTACGAATGGAGGGCCAAGCTCAGGGCTGGGACATCAAGTCGAGCAGCCACCCAGGTGACCCAGCCAAAGAGACCCCTGCTCAGCCGCCTTCCCCTGCTCATCATGGGGAGAACCCACATGTGCTGCCCGGTGCCCCTCTCTTGACAGGGACAAAGGCTGCCTGGGAGACCTTGGATGCTGGTTGTTAAGCACAGAGGCCCTAGGTGGGGTGGGGTGGTGGGGAGCAGGGGCAAAGTGCAGGGAATCCAAAGCAAACCTTGGGCGCTGAGCAGAGCACACTAACTTTTGAACAACATGGAGTGAAGATTTCCACGCTCCTTTGCCAATGGCTCACCCCTCGGCCCTGGGCCTCACGTTAAAAACAAAGTCCTGGGCCCAGATTCGAGGCTGGCGAAAAGCACTGGCTCCACCAGCCTAGACACTGAGGTCCGGTTCCTCAAAGACTGCAGAGATGTTAGTTGCCCACTTCATGCCGAATGGTTTCTTGCAACATGTGTTAACTCCTTATGTTTAACAGCCTGTTCCATCTTGTATCTAGCTGTGACGCTCTGGGAGTGCCTGAAGAAGAGCTCAGTGTGACGTGAAAGCTCCTCTCTCACCAACAGAAGCTGGTCCAATAAAAGATATTCCCTCCCCCACCTCGTCTGTCTCATATCCTGGGACTGACACAGCGACCACACTGGAAAGGTATTTAACTATCTCTGACATCACTGGGAGTTTGGCACCTAAACATCTTTGAGAATATGAGGGCCTCTCTGCACAGAACAGGGACGGTGCGGTCACTGCACTGTCAATGTGTGTCAGACCGGAGCACAGTTCTGCTCACTCCCGGAAGCAACTGGCTCCTTACTCCACCTGGGTGGGAGAGAAGTGGGAGTGGCTTTCTGGAGAGAGAGGATCTAGAGGGTGGGCTGAGAATTCCTGGAGGAGGAGCCCTAGGAGCTGCCAGCCCTGAGGAAAAGGGGTTTGAACTGAACTTTGCTTCACTGTCAATTCCCCAAACTCCAAGGAGTGGGGATGGTCGTCGAGGGCTTGGGGGGAGGCAGGGTGAGTTTGGATTCTAACTCATGTGAGTGGACTGTGTCTGAGAGCAGGTTGTGGGATGCCCCTTCTCAGACAGGCCAGTTAGTGCCACTCGCTATTGTGGGGCTGGACTGAGGCCCAGAGCGTTCATGTCACATAAGTTGTCAAACACCCATTAGATGGTTACAAGTTTCATTCACTGTCAATTCCGAGCTGGGGCAGGATTTGAACTGGCCACACGGAGGTGAAAGGTTCCATATGGCACCGTCCATGGCCGCCAGCAAGGGGCTGGTTTTGTTAGTACACTGCGAGGTGGCGAAAGTATGCGGCAATTACGAGATAAGTCGCAAATCCGCTACAGTAACGAACTGTGAGTTCTCTGCATCATAGGGGGGCGGGGGGGCTTGAAGAGCAGCCAAACCCTTAACCGGTTCCTAAGCTTCAGATTCCTGGCTCCTGTTCACTTCTTCATCTCCCATTACAGTTTAGCACTTTGCCATGCACTAAGGAATTTAATTTCATTCGAGATCAAGGAGAAGTCATGGAAAATGTGGGCAGAGATAATCTCTCGTTGCGAGCTCCTGGAGCGTGGGGATTGAGCCGGGCTTTGCAGCAGCTCAAATTGTTTGGGAACTTCCAAGGTAACTTTGCACCGCGCAATCTATCACTGTCATGCTGGCTTCACAAGGGCAAGGAAAAGGCCCAAGGTCATGAGCCGGGGGTGCCCTGACATTTTCTCCCTTAATCAATGCTGAATAACCGCGGTGACTTGCAGTGCTCCTGAAAGGTGGCAACTGAAAGCAGCAGCTATACGCGACCGGCGCAAGCTTCCCCTGCCAATGCCCCTCCATCCTGACCTACGATCCCCCACTATTCCAGTGCACAGCTCTGCCAATGCCCCACACGCCTGACCTGCCATCCCCCTGCTATTCTGATCCTTGGCCTCTGTGTGTCCCATGCCCTGAGCCCCACGCCCAAGCTCGCCAGCTGCTTTGGGGAAGAGGGCAATGCCAGGGGAGCAGGTTTTTCCACCAGTGGGTGAACTGGGATGAGGCTCACTGGAGACAGGTCATGCCCCTGAGGCTGCGGTTGTGCCTGTCCTGAGCCAGTCACACCACTCAGGAGGAAGGGGTCTTTGTAGCATCCGTGTTGCCACTACCTCCACCCTCCCTCTGGGGCTGCCGATACAGGTCAGAGCCTGGGCTGGTCGTTTCACTGCATCTCCATTCACCCAGCCCATCCTCCCCGCTCCCTCGCAGGGCCCCATCACTGACCTGGTATGGGGAATAATCCTCTTCTGCAGGAGGAAGAGGGCGGGAGAGAGGAGGGAAGAAGAAAAAGACAATCAGGGCACAAGCCAGGGCAGCGGGACGACAGCAGGGGGCGCCCACTCCTGGTCAGAGAGGGGCCCAATTCCCCGGACACTTGGGGCCAGAGCTGCCCCCCTTTTGCCCCACTCGCCCCAGCCCCCATGCCAGCCTCAGGCCAGGCTGCAGCGAGATCGCCAGGCAGGGAGGTGCCCAAATGGGGAGAGAGTCACCTGCCAGCACCACCATGGAGCTTCCCAAAGGCCGCGGCACCAGGCCATAGCAGCCCAGAGCCAGACCCGCTCTGCTGGGCACCGAGAGCCACCTCAAGGCCTCTCAATCTGGGATTCGCCCTCCGGGCTGGGAGGGGAGGCGGATCCCCTGGGACCAGGAGGGGGCATTGGGGTGGGGAGTTCTCAGGCTTCCATCCCAATCCCTCTTCTCACCGGGAAGGGGTCGCCTGCCCCGCTGCCCCGGCGCGCCTCAGCTTGTTGGCGATGGCCACGAGAGCACCCCCCCCCGCCCCCAGGCCCTGCCACCCCCAGCTGTGACCTGGCTCTCCCCAATCCTCTCCTCCCCTCCAGACAGGCCGACGAGGGCCCTGATGGTGGCTGCGCCGTGTCCCCCCCGGCTGGGATGGAGGCCATGACCCCCACCCAGAGCGGACTCACCTGGGGACGAGTGCTCCGACATCTGGAAGAGCATGGCAGGCGTGGGCCTCCGGCGGCGGATCTAAACAGGGGTGCGACGGGGAGGAGAACGGTTTGAGGGTCACCATTCGGGGTGGAGGTGAGGAGAGGCGATGATGCCTTGCTTCCCCCCACACACACACACCTCGCTTTGTTCTGGCCCACAGGGAACAGGTTTCCCCTGCCTCCACTACCCACCCCCCATCAGAGCCGTTGTTGTGGTCCCCAGGACATGGCACTGTGGCCGTGGGATGCTCAGCCAGGGAGCCCCCTCTGACATCCTTGGTGCCGATGCCTATGAACAGCACGGTAACGGTTCGGTCGCAGGGGCCCGGATATCACAGCTGACCACGCTGACCAATATTGTCTCGTTGTTTCCTGGCGCTCCCCTGTCTGACCCCATCTCTTGTGTTATGCTTCTCTTGCCAGCTCCTTGGGGGCGGAGGCGATCTGTTTATTGTGTGTTTGTTCAGCACCTAGCGCAACAGGGTCCTGGACCAGGACTTGGCCTCCTGGGTGCTACGGTAATACCAATAATAAATAATAATAAAATCCTGCGCCCCTCAGGTAACCCATCACCATCACATGCCCTCTCCAGCCCCCCACTGGCCCTCTAACCCATCACTCTAAGCCAGGCAACTTCTAGTCCACCACCTGGCTGTACCAAAAAGCTTCAGCCAAACCCTTACAATGTACGTATCATCATCGCCCTCTACTGGTCAGCATTGGACTTGCACATATATACCCTCTACAGGTTATAAGCCCTGCAACAGCTACAGCCAATGGGGATTCCCCAAGGGGTAGGAGCAGGTTTCCAGCCCTGCCACACTGCCCTGGACATCGCACATCCTCTGGGAGCCCTTTGAAGATCACAGAGCAGCCAGCGCGTGCGATTTTATCCCTCAACATTGGACAGCCCTGGCCCTTGGAATCACAAACATCTCCGATTTCAATTTTTAAAAATAAGGACGTTTGCAGCCCCCCGCCCGTGGCTGCTGGGGAAAGCAGGGAAAGGTGACGCAGGTGAAGTCTCAGAAACCGGCAGGTGAATAAAAAGAACCCCCAGTTTATTTCGTTTAAAAAAAATCTCATGATTTAGCTTGTGATATTCTGGGGGACTTTGACTTGTGGTTTTGGAATGCCTGGGGCTGGCCAGGCTGGCTGACAATCCTAACACCCTTGTGGGGAGGTGTGCGAGAGAGAGAGTCTGAGAGTGAGCTAGTGTGTGCATTGATTTTACATGGGTGTCTGGTGTGTAAGATTGGGTGTTAGTTTTGTGTAGCTGTGTGTGCGTGACCTTGTGTGTGCGTGCGCGTTGGCTTTGTGGGGGAGTGGCTGAGTGGTGTGTGCCTTGGTATGTATCGGGGTGTAAGTGATTGTGTGTGAGAGGGGCGCTGTGTGTGTGTGTGTGTGTTGGTGTTGTGTATCAGTGTGTATGTACACGATCTAGCGTGTGTACATGCATGTGAGACGGGAGATGTAAGGGGCTTGGACCTGGGGATGTACCAAGGTCTCCGCATCCCCGGGTTATTAAGCAGGGAAGCTTCTAAGCCCAGGGACTCCCTTGAGAGGTGGTAGCAGAGGATGGGACAGGCAGTCCAGCTGCAGGGGCTGGTCAGTCCAGCCCAGCGAGATGAAGGGAGAGAGACCAGCTCTCGCAGAGGCCAGGCTGGTGGGGCCGGGCATCTGGAGGAAGTGAGATCAAAGCTGAGTGCATCTTGGGGGGGGGGCAGTTCGGGCCATTCTGGGGGCACAGGTGGGGCCGCATCAGGGCAAGCTGCTGGCTCCACCATGGCAGCCTCATCCCTCGCCTGGCTGGCACCCCCACGTGAAGGGAAGGGAAATCAGTCTCCGCAGCCCTTTGGCCTCCCTGTTGAGGCTGCTAACGGAGGCCAACTGGTGTGATGGGGCGATTTGTCACATGGACACAGGTCCACCAGATGGAGGCCCCTGAACTCAGGTCACACGGGGCGTCCGACTTCCATGAGATGGTAACTTGACGGGCCATTGGCCTGACTGGAGCTGCCCCGCAAATATAGGAGTCAAACTACTCCCAGGCCTAGAACGGAAACCAGGTTTCATTTTTGACCGATAACCCTGAGGTCACGCTCCTCTCGAGTAACACACCGGCGCAGGGCCGGTGATGTGGCTGGAGGGGGGAGTATATTGGCTAGACTTGCAATTCACGAGGATCACCAGTGCTAGCGGAACCCGGGTTCACTCGTGAAATTGCATCTGGCATCATAGGTGCTGGAACAAGGGGTGCGGGGGGTGGTGGCTGTCCCCCCCCGGCTTGAAGTGGATTCCATTATATCCAGGGGTTACAGTTTGGTTCAGTGGCTCTCAGCACCCCCCATACACACACACACACACACACACACACTCTACAAGTCGTTCCAGCACCCCTGCCTGGCATGCGCTGCCGGTAATCTCTCCTGACCCAGCTTGGAACTCGAAAGCCACCTAGCTCAGTCAGTCAGTCAGTAAGGAGCCCCCCAAGACAGAGGGGCAACTTTGATCTGACACCCTCCCCACCCTTCTGCTCTTTGCTGGGGGCTCCTGGGACCCAGACCCAAGTCGCATCCGGATTCAGCAAATCCTAATCCTCAGTGCTGCCTGTCTGGAGGCACCTGGGCTTGACAAACACAACTCACTCTCACCTGTGCAGCTGGGGTAGGTTTTTGCAGCCGGATTTAACCCTGCGTGGTGACTGGCAAGCACCGGATTTAACCCT